CTATGATATGTGTGTGCGCGGGTGCGAAATTGCATCTCTCACATTCCATCTCATCGACCGACGTCTCATCGTGGTGGCACATGTCCCCGATTAGGAATAATTCGAATCTATTACTATTATCGCAATGCGGCTTTTACAAATCGATATTGCGACAGGAATGCAAATCAGCGCGCTTCGCGTAAAAGGAAAGGGTTGGTTTCGTACGCAGGCACAGCCTAATCTGCATATTAAGTTATTTATCGATCGCGACTGGGAATGAGGTCACGGCAACATAGCAAGTCTTATTAGCATGGCCGACTTGACAGCTCCCTAGCTCACTGTGCTGCTTGACATATTCCACCACGCTCTGTCGCGAACTGATACAAAATGCTCAGTGTGGGTTCTTGAGATTGTGTTATATATACTCACGCAATTGGATACTTATTTTCAAATACTTGCCGTATGCCTAATATCGTAAAAATAATTTTAAAGGCATTAGAAATAGCGAGGGAAGCATTACTGAAAGCTTCTACTTGCTGCTGCTACTGCTGCTAATATTTCTGAGAGAAATATTGCTATGCCGAAAAAGTTAAAGTCGCAAGCGTTGCTAAAGTGGAAGGGACGTGAAGCTATTATTGGGGGAAAGTGAGGAAATCTTTATTGGGAAAGGCTGCCTTACGTTATTACCGCGCGTGGCATGTAGTGCATGCGTGGCATTTTCACTGGGTAAAGAATGATTGTGTGCGTGTCGGGTGAAATAGCGTGCTGTACACATGCAAGGAATAAGTCGGCAGTGGACTAATATTAAAATGTTAGTAGCGTTGGCATGCAAGAGGCCGGATTAGACTATGAATGAGGTAACATTCAGCTACATTATATAGTTCCACATTTTTCCATCCAGACGATGATGACGTACATGCGAATAATGATCAGAATAATGATAATGCTGCTGCTGATGATGATGATGATGATGATGATGATGATGATGATGATGATGATGATGATGATGATGATGATGATGATGATGATGATGACGATGACAATGACGATGACAGGAGTGTTGAAGGCATTTACAAAGACAGAGATCACATGTGATGATACTAGCTTTGCTTAGCTATGACCTCAACATCATTTTTGCTTGCAGCTTGAAGGCACTGGAGGCATGGTTGATGTATCTGAGACAGAGAGATCAGTTGCTAGGGAAGCACTACAAGCAGGAAGCGTTGCTAAGGCTGGCCAGCACCTCCCACGTGCGTCTGTTCGACGAAATCATCATCGCTGTTCAGCCTCTCGCTGTCCTGCCATTTGATCTCGATATCAGTCTACTAGATGGCGCCACCAGCCTGACAACGAGCTTTGCTGTGACGCCACTCACGGGCGAAACAGGTTTGTGTGTGAAGCATTGAGGAGAGATGTGATGTGGGTAGTTTAGTATACATGTATCACCCTTCCTCTGTCATGCTGCACTATGCATGTGAAGAAAAATGCATGTGACATAAGTATATTTGCTATCGGGAATTGTTTTTGTGAGGTTTTTAGCTCGCCTTGATATCGTCAAGATGAGCTATTGCCATGGGGTGTCGTCCGTCGTACGTCCGTCTGTCTGTCCATCCGTCAACATTTGGCTACGGTCAACGATAACCCAGGAACCGTTTGATCCACCTGTTTCAAATTGCATATAGTTGTTACTCCTACGGGAGAGGTTTGAACGTCCTATTTTGGAGCACGCCAGTCGACCTACTTTTTCGCAAAAATTGAAATGGCCATAAGCCAGTTCAGGTTCAACGGATTTTGCTCAATTCTGGTATGTGAATGAATAAGGACTGGCCCCAAAACATATCACACAGGTTTTTTTTGTTTTTTTATTATGCAAATTAGGTAGATTTTGGCAATTTCACTATGCATTTCAGTGTCTGCCTACAGTCAACCCCATCAGATTGTATGCCAACAGATCTGAAACATTTATTTTCGCATCAAAAATTACTCATATATCATCATTATAAAGAGTATATAATGGGAGATATGCTATATAATGGGATCGCTGCCGCAGGCCCGGCTATAGTACTAGAGCTACTTGCCTCTGTAGTGTAAACCCATTTAAAACTCGTTAAAGGAATTCTTAAGAGACCCGTTAATGATACCGATCCTGTTGCTGATGATGATGTTATTGATGATGATGATGATGATGATGATGATGATGATGTTAGTGATGATGATGATGTTAGTGATCACTCACTAAAGTCGCTGTAAGATTACCTTTGCTGTACAAGAGTCTTACTCATTCGTCTTCGTCCTCCATTAGGTGTTCAATACTCACCATTGAGAGTTGCTGTACAAGAGTCTTACTCATAATTGTCTATTGTTTATTAGGTGTACAATACTCACCATCGAAGCAGCCAGCGGCAACCGTAAAGTCGCCGTCACCGCCCACAGACAAGTTCCCCGCGGCGCAGGCGAGCATTGAGGTGTCGCCCCCTGGCGACAGATCGCCCAGCGCGATCCCCACAGCGCTTCTGAAGACTCAGGGCTTCCGAGTCTCCGCGGCGAGACACGACCCACGCGAGACAAAGCCGACGACTCCGCCCGGCGGAAAGCCATCGCTTCCGGAACGGAAACCGGATCCCCGGGTTCCCGCGCGGGGGAAGCCGTCCCTCCCCGAGAGGAAGCCGGAGAGGGTTCCCTCGAGGAGGAGCCCCACCGAGGGGAAACCCCTGCTCCCCGAGCGAAAACCGGAGAGGGAGAGGACCTCCGCGCGACGAGGAGGAGGAGGAGGAGGAGGAGGGGAGGAGGAGGTGCGGAGACGCCCCACGGACATCCGGCAGCGACTCGCCGGATCCCCTCTCCGTCGCCGTGACGACGGCGACGACGACGGGATGACGAACAGCTGCGACAAGCTTCCCGCTCCGCCATCGTCATCGTCGTCGCCGCTGCAACAGCGGCCGCAGATGCGCGTCGCCTCGCCGGACGCGTTCTCGCTCGCCTCGCTCACGAGCAGCATGCGCCGCCGCTGGGGAGGTCTCGGCTCGAACATCATCAAGACGATCGACAAGCTGATGGAGCCCCGCACGCCGACGTCCCCCCCGCCGCCGCAGCTCGATGCTCCGCCGCCGAAGCCTCCGCGCCGGTCCGTCGCCGCGGCAACGAGGAAGACGGGTGCGCAGCAGCAGCAGGCTCCGATCATGCTGATGAATCCGATGGCAGATGCTGACACGCAGCGGAGGTTGGAGGCGGACGCAGAGGGCGCCACCGACAGTCGCGCGTCGGCCAGTTCCGTTTCGTCGCAGGATACAGATACGGCAGGTAACGCGGCGTTCGCTTGTTTTGAGGTTAGGGATGATGACTGGGGAAGGGGGAAGAGAGGTGGGTGGTAGCGGGGAGAGGTGGGTGGTAGCGGGGAGAGGTGGGTGGTAGCGGGGAGAGGTGGGTGGTAGCGGGATGGTGAATGCAAATCCAGAATAATAACCAAATAAAACAAGATATAGAGAAAGAGGGAGATGAGAAGGGAGATGAGGGAACAATGAGAGATGGTAAGGGTGAGAGACAGACTGATAGAGCGAATAAATGTGAAAGAGAGGAGGGAAAGAGAGAGAGAGAGAAAAAGAGAGAGGGGAACGGGCAGATGGACAGACAGATGGACAAACGAACAAATGGACCGATGGACAGACATGGAAATATTTTACGAAATCGTAAATACAACGTAATGTCGGTGCGTATCTTGAGCGTAAGACACCAACCACAACACGACCTCATTCTGTGCAGGCACGCCCGACTCTGAGGAGACGGTGGCGCCCCTCGGTGGCAAGAAATGGTCCAAGTCGAGGAGGGTGCAGACGAGGATTCCGACTATCAAGAAGATGGTATCCTCTAACACCTCCAGCGGCAGTGACAAGGAACGGCCGGAAACCATGAAGCTGTGGGGAAAACATTTCAAGTAAGTTCCTTCTCGACCTTCCTCAGCTCGAGCTAGTAAAGGACCTTTGGCTTTAAATTTGTCACAGATTGGTAATAGTTGGTGTAGTCAAAGTGTTCCTAGGTGAAATTCTGTGGATGACAATGGAATCCCCTTCTCTCCTCCCACACCGTCGCTTTTGTAAGGCCCATGGTCTATTGTAGTTACTTCATATCCCTGGCTCTTTCCTTTCCTTTCCTCTCTTTCACTACCTCTGATCCAACTTCTTCGGATCAACTTTCTAAGCCCTCTTCCTTCTTCATGAGATCCATATCTATATACACACACATGTATGTATGTATATATATATATATATATACATACATATATAACTGGAGCATGGCAATGCTTCGTGAGCGCTGGAACATTCCCATGCCACGCACGCTCTATTGTTTGCTCACGCTCTATTGTCACACGCATCCTCCGCTCGTCCGCAGGCACGCGAGAGCGCACACGGAGCACCGGGCGCGGCGGGCGAACGAGCTCAGCTTTGAGAAGGGGGCGCTACTGCAGGTGGTGCACGACGTCGACCGTGATTGGCTGCGCTGCCAGCACCTCAGCAAGGTCGGACTCGTGCCGAAGAAGTGCATCCGCGGGTGTCCGTGAGTGCCGGGGTCGCGCCGAGGTCACATCGGGGCCACGGCAAGGTCAGGTCAGGGTCGTGGCAGCCTCGCACTGAGGTCACAGCAAGGTCGCACCTAGGTCGCTGCGGTGTCGCATAAATGTTACAGCAAGGTCGCGGCAGGGTCGTGCCGAGGTCGCGGCAGGGTCGTGCCGAGGTCGCGGCAGGGTCGTGCCGAGGTCGCGGCAGGGTCGTGCCGGAGTCGCGTAAATGCACGCTGCACATCATGAGAATTTTGCACACGAGAGCTTCGATTAACTGCAGGGCTACTTAACCCTTTATACAACACATTGCCAAAGTCACACCAACGACGCGTTCGTCCATGTCCCGTACTGCAAACTGTTCTGTCGCGAACGCGCGTGTACTTGTATTGTGCTGGTGTCAGCGAGCGCTGTTGGTAGGGAGGGGGGTAGGTCACATAATAATCGACATCATGATCGCATGGTAAAGCGCATAAGGTACTTGATGGACGATTCGGGTGTTCACTCGTTTGTCGGGTCAAAACACGGCCACAGCAAATGTGAACTGGTTTTCGGTGACGCGATCGAAGAGGGTGCTCTGGTGAGGGTGGCATTCGTGAGCAGCTGATGTAAATACGGTGTGTTGATGAGGCTGCGCATTTCTCTAATCATGTTATCTTATATATTTATTGGCTGCATGCGGCAGTGTGGCGTGCAGGTAACGGTAGTGAACGTAGTGCTGCACGCCACGCGTGTAGTGTGTGATACATTAAGCTAGTCATCATCGATGGGTTGTGACGGAGCGACACAACATCATCCTGCTGCGAAACGAAGATAGGGATATTATCCTGCAGCCGTTGCTAGGTTACGACTGGGTAGTCGTGACGAGTGGTTGCCTGGTTACGGCTTGGTAGTCATGGCGAGTGGTTGTCTGGTTATGGCTTGGTAGTCATGGCGAGT